CATGCAATTTCAGCCATCTGATTTTGCAAAGAGGAGCCAAAAATAGGTGTCGGAGAAGAGATAGTTTCTTTAGCAAATGGTGCTGGGAAAACTGCATATCTATATTTAGAAGATTGAAACTAGATCCTTATCTTGGTTACTTTTCTCTCTTTGCTGAAACAAAATACCTGACGTCCAAAATTAGGGAAGGAAAGGTTTATTTTGCTTACAGTTTATGGAGGTTTCAATCCATAGTCATCTGGCTCCAAGGCAGGGTGATGTGGCTGAGGGGCAACCATTCATGGCAGCTGCAAACAGCAAGAGTGAAAAGGGCAAAACAGGAAAAAACATGACTTCTTCCTGCCCTTATGTTATATGCCAGCTCCGCCCCTGGGTGGGTGCGGCACTCACACCACCAATCCCAGTGCTAGACAATGAACCAATCACAAATGCTAGACTCAGCCCCTCCATGACTGCATGAGGCTTGAGGGGTCACCCAGGCACAAACCATAACAATCCTTATCTCCTGTATAAAAATCAATTCAAGGCGATCCCAGAAATAGATATGAGACTAGAAACTTTGAAGCTATTAAAGGAAAACATGAGGGAAATGAAGCCATCACAAAGACACAAACTTCCTGAATAGGACTCCACTAGCACAAGAAGTCATAGTAAGTATCAGCAAATGGGATTACAGCAAATTAAAGTTTCTACACTACATGGGAGACCACAGAGAAAACACAGCCTACAGAATGGGTGGGAGTCTGTGCCACCCACTGTTGGACATTGAGAGAAAGAACTCAAAAGGATTCAACACCCAAAAATCAAACAGCCCAATCCATAAATGAGCCAAAGAATGGAACAGACACTGCTGAAGACATACCAGTACCCAATAAGTATATGAAGAAGTGTTTCACATTTTTAGCTACTAGGGAAGTGCAAATCAAAACTACATTGAAATTCCAGCTCGTTCCAGTCACCAAACATCCGGTGGTGACTTCTCTACATAGCAGGAAAAAACAGTGCACTCTGCAGCATAGGGCGCTCCACCACACAAGAGAGAACATGGGGACTTGAGGGGACTTCTCTACATAGCTAGAAGGAATGTAAATTACTGCAGAGACTACAGAAATCAGTTGGAGGGTCCTCAAAAAACTAAGAGTAGAGCTGGGTGTGTGGTAGCTCACGCCTGCAATCCCAGCACTCAGGAGGCTGAGACAGGAGGCTGTTTTGAGTTCAAGACCAGCCTAGGCTACAAAGTGAGCTCAAATTGAGCCCCAACAGCATAGCAAGACCCTGTTTCCAAAAAAACACTAAATAAATAAAAACTGAAAATAGAGCTACCATTTAGCTAGCTATGCCAATCTTTGGCGATAGCCTATGTCTATGGGATACCTGCATATGCATGTTTATTTTGACACAGTTCACAATAGCCAAGATATGTAAACAATTTCAGTGCCCATCCACCGATGAATGGGTAAAGAAAATGTGGCATATCAACACACGGAGTATTACTCAGCTACCAAAAAAAAAAAAAAAAAAAAGCTGTGTCATTTGCAGGCAAATGGGTGGAACTGGAGATCATGTTGAATGAAGTGAGCCAGACCCAGAAAGATAAGCATTGCACGTCCTCCTCAATGTGTGGAATCTAAAAAAGACCACATGAAAGCAGAAGGGAGGCCTCTGTTAGACGAGGGGAAAGGAATAAGTGGGTAAGGGGGACACGAGAGGGTAGGGAGTGGGGGTGGAGAAGACAAAATGGATGCAGTGGAACCCAGTATTTTTCAAAATTAATAATGAAGTATATTAATAAAAAAATTTTAAAATACCTTCAGTGGTCCTGCACATTTCTAGGCGAAAAATGAACTCCCTTGTGACTTTCTGAGTGTCTCCCACATGATACCGTCTGGACTCTCCAATCTTTTTCCCCAGGCTCCCTGGATCGGTCCCATCTCTGCTCTTCAGAGCTTGTTTCTTGTGGACCAGCAGAAAGGGTCACGGCTTTGGAGGTGCTGATGTCTCCTTCTCTAGGTGGTTTCTTGGTTCTTTCTGTTCTGAGCAAAGAATTGGTCAAGACAAGTGCAAACGGTAGCAACATTTTATTAAAGGTAGAAGAAACAGGCTCTCCAGAGCCAAGTAAAAGCAGGAAAAAACAGTGCACTCTGCAGCGTAGGGCGCTCCACCACACAAGAGAGAACATGGGCAAAGACTCAGTGCAGAAGCCCTTGCAGTGTCATCTAGGCCTCAGGCTGATGTCAGGCTCAGGTCCTATGCAAACCTGCTCCAGTTCTCGCAGGAAGTCATCCACACAGGCTGTGGGAACTGTTGTGTTAACAGGCCACGCCTACTTCCCAAGCAAGCTTTCCCACACCCTCATCACCTGCCTGGCCAGGACAGAAACCATAGAATCTAGATCACAATTCAAGCCTTATACTTTTTGTGATGTTAAAGGGGTTCACTTTCCACATCTCTAAAAAGTTTAAATTCCGACTGTATAGAGTTGCCATACACACCACACAGTGAAAAGCCCATAGGAGGAAATACTTACATGGAAATTATTATTGTTGTTGTTGGGTTACTATTCTCTGATTATTTAGATCCTCTGTGACCTCCAAAGCCTCTCCAAGGTCCATGAACCATAAAGCTATCTCCATTCCTTATCCAGTATAGCTCTTGGCAATGAACAATTGATCAGTCATGCTGAGAAATGTTTCCCAACTGAGCAGGAAGCACCTCTTCAGAGCAGGAAGCAGTGTTTTAAAATCTGCATTCCCAGCTATTATCAAGAAATCAACCAATAACAAATGCTGGCGGGGCTGTAGGGAAAAGGAACCCTTCTCCACTGTTGGTGGGAATGCAGACTGGTGCAACCACTGTGGAAATCGGTGTGGAGATTCCTCAAAAAACTAGCACCAGAAGTCCCATTTGACCCAGCTATTCCCCTTCATGGTATCTTCCCAGAATTTAAAATGCCATACTACAGTGATATATGTGCACACATGTTTATAGCAGCACAATTTGTAGCAGCCAGACCATGGAAACAATCTAAATGCCAATCCACTGAGGAATGGATGAAAAAGATGAGATATTTTTAACAATAAAGTACTACTCAGCCATAAAGAAGGATAAACTGGAAACTTTTATAGGTAAATGGATGCAAATTGAGACCATACTCAGTGAAGTAAACAAGAAACACATGTGTGATCATCGTATTGTCTCAGTAGTGTGAGAGGCTGAAAGAAACAACATGTGTATGTATGTATTATATAAAAAGATAGTTAACATAGCTATTCTACTGATTTCTCTGAGTTCACTGAAGAGAAAGACTTGTGCCGGTGCTGTTCGGACAACTGAAAGATGTCTTGGGCTCTGGGTGATTTGGGGATGACAATGCGCACGTAGATACCATTGTTGCCCCCTGATTGATGTGCTTTGAAATTTTGTTACTTTTTTCCGCTTTTTTTTTCTCTTTTTCTCCTTGAAATAAAATGGACTTAGAAAAAAAAATAAAATCTACATTCCCAGTCCTAGGTTCACAGTCCAGCTTCCTGACCCATGACCTAAGTCACTCTGAGGTCACTTCACTTCTCGTCTCAGTTTCGCCATTTGTGAAATGGGACAGCAATAATAATAACAGTGTCCACCTCCATGGAATAAGAGCCCCTGGCACGTAGTAACTGCTTTTTTTTTTTTTTTTTTTAGTGCAGGGTCTCACTACGTAGTTCAGTCTGGATTTGAACTAACTTGCAGTGATCCCCTTGCTTCAGCCTTCTGAGTGCTAGGGTCACAGGCCTGGCCAGTTGCGACTAATATATTGCGTGCTGATTGAATAGCTCACAGACTAGAAAACAGGCCATTGCTGAAAGGACCCTCACCATAAAAACTCCACCTTGAAACAGTGCAAGCCCTCTGAGTCTCCTTAGTTAGAGGAAGATAAAGTTGCTGCCACCAAAGTTGTTTTCACAAAATGATATGGAATCAGGCAGGAAGCCCTAGCCGGTTCTTGGGTCACCCTGATGGGTAGCCTGCCCTCCCTACCCCGAAGAGAAGCCAGCATTGTTCTGTCGAACTGATGTACAGACATGGCCTTTCGAGTGCTCCCACTATTCCAGGAATGTGGGCTTTGCAAACCAGCCCACTTAGCTATTATCACCCCATATTAGAGCAGGGAAGCCCAGGCTCAGAGTTAACCCAGGCTGTTCTCCGGTCACTCCACGTGGCCGGTTCAAACCCAGACTCCCCACCTCCCGTATTCATGCTCTTCCTGCTCCCCATGTTCCAAGATTCCAAGGTGAAGCAGTCATGGAAAATGTCTCAAACACACACAAGGAGCCAGGTACGGTAGTGCATGCCTGTAACCCCAGCACTCTGAGAGGCTGAGGCAGGAAGGTAGAAAGTTTAAACTCAGGGCCGGGGATTTAGCTTACTGCATAAGCACCTGCCTGGCAAGTGCAAGATCATGAGTTTGATCCCTGGTACAAAAAAAAGAAAGTTTAAAATCAGAAAGATTCTGTCTCAAAAAAAGACACACAGAGAAGCTGCCTCAGATGACAGCACTCCAGCAACTATGTTTGTTTGTTTGTTTGTTGATTAATTTTTTGAGACAGAGTCTCACTGTGTGGCCCAGGCTAACCTCAGCCTCACGGTGATCCTCCTGCCTCAGCCTTCCCAGTGCTGGGATTACAGGCATTCACCACTACACTCAGCAACTGCAAGTAGATTTTAAAACTTCTGCTCAACCCCATGAGGAGGGATGGATTTGCTGCCAGCTGACAATTCTCTGGGTTTACAGAAAGGGATCCCAGCCATGAAAAGAGAAGACCCAGATGTGTCCCGGGGTCCCAGTGTCCCCTGCCTGGGTCCCACCTACATCCCGGTCCCTCCCGAATGCCCCAGGAGAGAGGAAAGCACTCAGGAGAGAGGAAAGCACTCGCTTTCCCTCCCAGCCTCTTGAGGTTTTCCTCCACGCCTGACGCCATGTGGGCGGGCCCCGAAGCTGCTTCTCATAACCGGTGACTCCAGCTCCCCTGCCACTGCGGCTGGCTGCAGGACAGGAGCTGGCTCTCTCTGGTGCCCTGACCCCTCGCTCACCAGTCATGTCGCACGAGGTCTCTGCAGGGACAGTGCTCTTCGTGTCCCTGGCCGGTGAGTGACAAACACCACTTAAAAGGGTGGCCCTGCCCGTCCTTTTAAATCTAAGTAGCTTCGGGTTTCTGCTACCTGAATTCTTATCTAGAGCCCTGATCCTTTCCCGGAGGGCACCTTAGCCTCCCAGAAGTCAACCCCAAAAGACAGTGCACTCTCCCTGGCACCTGCGTGTCCCAGACGGATCAGGGGATGTTTGGAGAGATCACTTAGGTCTACAAGACAGAGGGGGCTGTCACTTTGCTACATAGGCAAAGCCGCCACCCCGTCTCGATTTTCCTGTTTGTCCCCTTTGGGAGGATGTGCTGTGTGACCAGTGAGCTGTAAAGGACCAGCCCTGAGCTGGGGTCAGCCACTCACTGGACACTGGTGGGTTTTTAAAAATATGTTACCCTTGCGTCTGCTCGCTGAGGCTGCTGGGAAGCTGAGTTCAGGGTTGAGGGATGTCCTCCGTCCGGGACGCCCACAGGGCATTTTCTCCCGGGCCTGGCCGAGTCCTCTTGAGTACTGTGGCTCTGTGCAGTTCACCATCCATTCACGGTACCTCCGAGTGGAGAGAATCAGCGCTGTCCACACTGCCCACTGGCAGGCGAGACGGGGACACACAGAGGCCCTTGGTTGTGACGGGAAGGTCAGGATTGCCCCAAGAGTGGCCTGCTACTCTCATCTGAGAGGCTTTAGTTTGTCCTGCACTCTCAGAAGTCTAATTGGCTTGAGAAGAAACGGTCTCCTAGTCCTCCTCCGAAAATGAGAGGACTTTAAAAACATGGATCACCTAACTTTACATTCAGCTACACCAGGCCAACAAGCCTCAAGCCACAGGATGAAGCAAGAGAGAGGTCTTGTTTCCCATGTGAAAACAAGTCCAGAGGAATTCAGACCCCATTCTAGCATAGAGGGCTCAAGGTCAGCAACCCACTGTGCTTGGTGTGGCCTTTACCTTCAAGGCTGCCACGTGGCTCTGGATGTCTGCTAGAGCTCCAGCCGTCACACACAAGTTTCAGGTTGGCTGAAGGAGGAACAGCAGAAGGGCACTGGAGAGACAGGCCACCCAGGTGACAGGGCACCTTTGAACAGCCTTCCTTCCCAGAAGCCCACACAACCCTATCACTTCAACTGCTCATGCTGAACCTCAATCACACATTCCCACCCCATTAAAAGATTCTTATTCCAGGCTACAAGCACTCAGCTCAAATCCAAGCAGCTGCTGTTACTGTTCTTCCTCCTCTTCTTCTTCCTCCTCCTCAGGGTCTCTAGGTACTAAACCTGGCCTTGAACTCATTATGCAGCCAAGGCTGGCCTCAAACTCACAGCAATCCTTCTGCCTCTGCTCCTGAGTACTGGGATTACAGGCATGCACTGCCATGCATAGCTCCCATTCAGGCTTCTGTTGCTAAGTAAACACCCCAGAGGCCCCAGGCGAGGTGCTCAGGGGCTAACAGGCGAGGTGCTCAGGGGCTAAAATCCGGTTCCCTGTTCCTGGACATGGCCCAGGGCTCCAGCTGCTCACTGACTGTGTCCCCCTGGGGCCAGCAGAGCACATGGACTGTTTGAGGCAGACCTGGCTGCTCCCTGTTAAGCTCCTCCTTGGCCACTGCTTCTGTAGGCCCTTCTTCCATCCCCCCCACCCCCCACCCCATACTGACCCCTGCGGTCCTCCCCATGCACAAGGCTTCTGCTGCCTCTGTGCTCTTCCACGACCCTTCCTCCTTCCTGGCCCCACTTTGCCCTCTGGTCTCCCCCAGATCTCTTCCCTGAGCCGGGGGCCTGCCCCCCCACACACACACACTGCTGTGGCACCCAGGGGGGACTGTGTCTCTTCTGTGCTATCACAGACAGAGGTGGTAACTGTGTGTGTCAGGGCTTGGAGCCCCACAAAATAATGACCTCCTGAGCACCAGCGTGGAGCCTGCCTCGGAGGAGGCCTGTGTCACCTGCGGGGTTGTGGGTGGCAGGAAACCAAGCCAGGTCCGCCTAGGGAGGGACTTTCAGGAAAAACCCAGAAAAGAGGTCAGCCCTGGCCCGGTGTGGTCACTGACTTTCCCGGGACTGGAACCGAAACCTTCTTACATCTCTTCCTGAAGGAGGCTGCCAGAATTCAAGCTGAAGATCCAGTCTCAGAGCAGTTTTAATCCTAGTCAGCAAGCTCTGGGCTCGGGGAGGAGGGGGGGGTCTGGCAGAACCCTATGTGACCCCAGGGCTGTGCTGTGGGGTTTTTGTTTTTTTGTCTTAAAAATAAGACAAGGTTTCACCTCGCAGTTCAGGGTGAACTTGAGCTCACTTTGGAGCCGAGAAGGCCTTGAGTCCTCCTGCCTCAGCCTCCCAGGTGCTGAGACGATAGGCAGGCGCCACCACGCCCTGCAGTGCTGTGCTTTTGAGTAGCTGGGGGTTGAGACAGACTATGAGCCAAGGTCAGCCTTGCTGCCCTCTGAGGGTCTCATGCAGATCGGTGACCTTGACCTTGACTGATCTCTGAGCTGTTTAACATTGTCCAGTTCTGACCGAGGTCAGATGTAAGTGCGGCTCTATGTGGGGGTCTGGGGAAAGGCTGTGTTAGCCCCTGGGGTCACTGTGTGCCTCAGGAGCAGATGACTGATCTGGGATGGATGACAATGTGCAGCAGCATTATCCACAACCTACCTGCCTGCCGACCCTGCACCCTGCACTCTGACAGGACAGGGGCAGGGAGGGAGGTCTGGGAGGTGAGGAGGGGGGGGAAGAGAGGGAGGAGGAGGAGGGGGAGGAGGAGAGGGAAGGAGGAGAAGAGGGGGAGGAGGGCCAGGAGGAGGCATAGACCTGCGCCTCTAACACAGTGAGCTTGGCACTTCCGGCCCAGCCCCTGCCTGCCCAGCCTTGTGCTCCCTGACACCTAACCTGCTTTCTTCTCACCACATAAAATAATGGGATGAGCAATACATAAAAGCCTATTTTAGCTTCCAGTTGCAGCCTGTAGCCCGTGACCGGCTAGTACTCTTGTCTTGGGCCCCTATAAAAGCCCATCATAGCTGAAGCTCAGGGTGGACAACTAAAGAGAGAAAGAAAAAGAAGCTGAGGTCTCACAGTGCCCCCATCACCCTGAACCTGTCAAGTTTCCACCGCTTCCCATCAGCACCACACTGCAACCTGCCTCTGACACATGGGCCTTCGGGAAACAGAAAGTCTAGTCCAAACCCTGGCAGCTTCTCACCTGCCTCACCCCAAACCTGGACACTGTGACTACCATGACTTCCTCCACTCTGAGCACCCCAAGCACAAGATACTGAGGGTCTTCTTGGCCTGTTTGCAATCCTGGCCATTTGTAAAGACCAAGAGTTTCTTCCCTCTTTGTTTGAGACTGTTCATCACTACTGAAAAAGGAGCAGGAGTCTTAGGAAGGGTCCCTGGTTTGTTTGGTTTTGGTTTTTTGGTTTTTTTGTTATTGTTGTTGTTTGGGTTTTTTTGAGACAGGGTCTCACTATGCAGTTCAGGCTGGACTTGAGCTTACTTTGTAGCCCAGGCTGGTCTTGAACTCACAACTATCCTCCTGCCTCAGCCTCCTGGGTGCTGGGATTACAGGAGTGCACCACCACACCTGGCTAGGGTCCCTGTTTTAAAGGGCATGCTGCTCAGTTTAGGAAATTCTACTCAGGTGGAAGTTTAGGGTTAGCTCAGATATCAGCCAGGCCCAGCAGGATCACAGCCGAGATACAGCACCTGCCCCAGAGAGCAGGCCAGTTGCTACCTGGCTCCAGAAGTGCGCTGTAGCAATCACAGCTTTTCAGGGTTCTTGACCAGGGAGCCAGTTACTCAGGTTTATCCCACATGAATTATGAACATAAATTTTCAGGGCCAGGCATTTAACTCTGTGGCTCAAATGCTTGCCTGGTAAGCACAAGGTCATGAATTGAATCCCCAGGATAAAAACATTTTTAAAGTTTGCTTTAAGGCCAGAGACTATATAAATAATACCATGGGCACAGTCTTGTTCAGTGTGGAAGCTTTGATGAGCTCTGTTTCATTGTCATAGCCTTGTGCCTTTACCCCAAATCTAAAGATACGCGTGGTATTTTAGCTGAAACAGGAATGAGGAAGGTGACGGATAAGCAGAGGGTTGGTGTCACCACTGCGTTTCTTCATTTGCAGTTATCTTGTGTGCCGGTCATCAAGTGAGAGTCACAGGGTCTGTGGGATCCACAGCCGGGCCTGGCCCACAGCCAGCTCAGCAGGTGTCCAATGGACTTCCTTCCGCCACATCCAGGGGAGATCACAGTACCTCTCAAACAGCAGGGGAGACCCCGGGGAGCCCACCACACCCGACCACAGCTCCGGCCACTGCGTCACAGAGAAGCCCTCTGTCTTCCAGCCCAGTCGTCTACACCCTGGCCACTTCCAACAACTCGCACACAGTCTCTGCACTGAGTGATGCTACCATGGGGCCCAGCTGGACACGCCACTCACAGTCACCCACGTCGCCACCAAACACTACCCCTGAAACCAGCACACCCCCTCTCTGTCTCACAACTGGGAAAAATGCCCACCACAGTGGCCAGACCACGGTCTCTGAAACCCTGCCCACAGCAGATGGCAAAAGCACAATTGCTCAGAAATCTCCTCCAGCCAACCACACCTCGGGAGGGACCACAGCCACCCACAACGCCACCCCCGTGGCCTCGCCTACAATGTCCACACCCACGCACAGCATCACCCCGACCGCAGCCCCTGCCACCACCGTCCCTGGAGCCACCCTGGCACCTCAGCCATCCTCTGCCAAGACCGGAACTTACCAAGTTCTAAACGGAAGTAGGATCTGCATAAAAGCAGAGATGGGGATACAGCTGATTATTCAAGAAACAAAGTCGGTAAGTCGGGGCCAGGGGACCCTTACACTATGCTGGAAAAAAAAAACCTGAGTGGAGTTCACCTTGCCAGGGACGGGCATTGGGCCGTATCTTGTCCTTCGGTGTAATAAAAGGCTGGGTCAGTCTCCTCCCAGGGGACCTCCACGGAGGGTAAAGACGGGCGGGCGTGCAGCACCACGCTGGGCACTGGTGTAGGACTATAGGCACTAGATTGGACCTCCAGCATCACACACGCACACCAACGCTGGGAGGGCCGAGCAGGCCCCTCCTGACCCTAGTCCTGTGCCTCAGCGTTTTTCCTGAGCCATAAGAATCCAAACCCGATGGGCTCTGTGCTTCCGGCCCGCTGTGATATGAATATGAAAATCCAGATTCACGAGAAGAGTGGGGAGGAAAGTAGGGCGCTCCCGTCACGGGAAACTAAAGTCCAGCTGTTAAGAAATGAGAGGAGAGGGCGGCACCGACCCTGGACTTTGCAGTCTTCAGGGGTCACCCCTCAGCCGGCCGTGTGCTAGCCTGGGCTTCCCGCCCTCCCACGGCCCTCCTCTGCCTTTCCTCCAGTTGATCTGCATTGTTTTGGTTTAGGTTTTTTCACCTCGGAGATATTTCAACATCGACCCCAACGCAACCAAAGCCTCTGGCAGTTGTGGCTTCCGAAAATCTAACCTTCTCTTGAATTTCCCTAGTGGATCCGTGAATTTCACGTTTACCAAGGTGAGGTGGACGCTCCTTCCCACTGACCCGCAGGGGCGTGCCTTCCCTCCCTTCCTCTGACCCTCAGGGGCGTGGCTCTCCTTGCCCCACGCCCCCACCTCGAGGCCGGGAAGCAACAGCCTCAGAGCCTTTTGAGATCTTTGCTGATAAGAGTGAGGATTTTGAGAGCGGGAGGAGGAAGTGTCAACATCCTCTGTTTGCCTTCTTCCCCCTTCATCCTCCACCGTCTCCCAGAAAAAGGCTTGTGTGCCTCTCAGGGGAGGTGTGGTTTTGGGGGCCCCCACTACCAGTGCCCTTTGCAAACCGCCAGAAGGAAGTTGTACAGTTGAGTAGATCCCTAGAAATTCCCAGCGGACGCCCATAAACAAGATCACTATAAAACCAAAATCAAAAGTCAGAATGGGTTCTTTCCAACCACAGAAGGGTAGCGTCAGGGACTCCCCGGGCTCCGGGTTTTCCAGGCCACATCTGGGAAGTGGTACAGAGTACTGGCCGGTGGGAGTCAGCTGCAAAGCTAGCTGTGTCATTCATGCCCTTTTGGAACTCAGGCAGGAACCTGAATCTAAGCTTAACTGTGTTATTTGAAAAGCAGGGAAGAGGAATTTAACGACCACCTCTGTGAAAAGCGAGTCCCATATCCATCAGCTACTGTAACTGCAGTGGCTAACACAGGCACAGAAGAACCTGGTCACCCCACTCTGAGAGGACCCTAGCAGTGGGGACCAGCGGTCAGCTCCCGGGTCGCTTACAGCCCATTTCCAATCTGTAGAATGAAAATCATCAGACCCACCTAGTAGGAGCCCCAAGGAAATATAAACTCTAGCAGCCTTGGGCACATAGCAATTGTCAAAGGACAAAGCTACAAGATCTGGCTTGGCTTGGAAGTGTGATTCTACAAGTAGCCACCGCCTCAGTCTATAACATACACTGAGGGTTTGGCTGGGCTGGAGCCAGGTAGTTGGATAGGGATAGCGGGAAAAGGGGAGGCAGGCAAAAAACCAGGACAGAGAGAGTTCCGTCATTTCCAAGCGACTTTCCTTGTAAAGCTTAAGGCCCTGGGGATTTCCTCCTCGTGCTGGGTTACCTGGCTGGTGTGGGGATTTGGCTGGTTTCTCTCCTGGTTCTGAGAAGATAAGAGAAACAGCCTGGGTGGGCTTGGCGGCCTGGAACCTCAGAGTGTGGACATTAATTCCACATTGGTTTAGTCTGTTAGCTCCATCCAACCTAGTAGCGTCCTATAAATCTTACTGAACACTCTCATTTTGTGCAATCAAGCGTGGTGGGTTTTGTTATTTTTGTTATTATTAATTTGCTTTCCAGACCTTTTCCTCCTGGTGCATGCTTTGCTCTGTACGGTAGAGGTGTGTGTGAGGGTCTGGGCTTCTATTTTGGTTCCGAATGGAGCAGGCATAATTCTTCAGCACAGAGCTACTCAGAGTGGAATAAGTGTTCTGTCTACCTGGACAGCTGAAATTACTAATTTCAAACGATCTTGGCAAGGTGACAGAAGTGGTACACAAAAGCACTGATGTTTTAGCTCGGGACTAGATCTTCCCCGGACCCCTGCCCACCCAGGCACTACCCAGGGGAAAACATCAGAAACCCCAGGCTTTGTGGCCCCCAAGGCCGCTGACCGCAGGATGCCGGCGGGACTTCTCGAAGGAGGCAGGAGTGTCCTGGGCTGCCTTGTTGCCCTGTCTCCTCTAACCCTGCCTTTGGATGTCTTGAGCCTGGGCTCTGACCAAGCTGCACCCAAATGTTGAATCCCTGACCTGCCTCTGAAGATACTTTGTGCCCCTTTTCTTCTCCTCCTTCCCCTCAGCAGCAGGGCAGCAGATGGGGTCCAGAGGCAGCGGCCTCCCCAGCCGGCCCTGACATCCTCCCCATGCCACCCACCTCGCCGAAGCACCCTCCAGCCTTGGCCTCGGTGTCAACACGGCTGCTCCCCCCAGGGTCTGCCATCCACTCCACCTCCAGCCCAAACCCTCCCCACTCCACCCTACCACAGAAGAAACCAAGAGGCTCCTAGAAGATAACAACTACCACCAGCCTCAGTCATCCAGGGGAGTTTTCCCATTTTAGAGAATTTGTCTAAGCCCAACAGGAGCCATAAATTTAAGAATTATAAGAGCTAAGCACACAGTTCAAATGAGGCAAGAACAGTAACACATGTTCTGCCTGGAAACAGCTAGTCTTAATTTTTTCCAATTTAAAACAAATTAAATTTTGATGTCCAAAACTCATCCTCATCAAAAATTGAAGGTCAGAAAGAGTTTTTTCTTCTTTTCTATCGAGGGGAGTATGGAAAAGGAGTCAGCGTCAGCACTGCGTGGTAAGCGGCCACTGACCACATCTTGTACTAAGGAGATAGAGACACAGAGCCAGTGTTTGGTGTCCATCCCTGGGGGTTGGCCCTGTCCTGTGTGTCCTTCCCTTCCTTCAGGAGAACAGTTCTGTAGTCCAGGCTGGCCTCAAACTCGTGGCAATCCTCCTGCCTCAGCCTCCAGAGTGCTGGGATTATAGGCGTGCACCACACCTGGCTAGCAACATATTTTTTTACAAATTGAAACACAATACAGCTATAGATCAGATGTAACCCATGGACCCCAACTCTGTGTCTAACAATGCATCGGATGAGACAGGAAAGCATTGTACATTTTTCCATATAATCAAGACGGGTTCCAGAATCCAGTGTGTCCTGCTTTTTGAATGTTGTTACTTTCTGAATGTCCTTTTCTTAACGGCAGCCATATTAACATTTGGGGACAGGCGATTCTTTGCTGGGGGGATTGTTGTGTAAGATGTCTAGCAAAACCCTGGCCTCTACCCATTGGAGGACAGTAACAATGCCCCCAAGCTGAAAACTCAGTTTCTCCCTGGAGGCAGAAATCTACAGTGCCAGGTGTCAAGCCATGTATAATAACCTCTGGTTTCTTCTTCATTAAAATACAACCAATGACAATCTGCCTCCTCACGGCTCACCTGACCTGGTTCAATCAACACTCAATTAACTGTGTCATGTGTTCTGTGATCATGGAGGGCTTTTGATGACCTCTGAGCCCCACTTCCTCTTCAGTGAGATGAGTGGTAGCCAGACATGATGGCACATGCCTGTACTTGCAGCACTCAGGAGGCTGAGGCAGGAGTACTGCCACCAGTTCATGGCCAGCCTGGGCTACACAGTGAGACCCCATTTTAAAAAAATGGATGGATAAGAAAAAAACCTGAGCTGTCCAGGATAGAGGATGGAGGCATGGTGAGGGAGAAAAGGATAATCACTTACAGCTGCGGGCCAAGCCAGCAAAGCCTACTTCCCATACCCAGGTCTGTGTCAAACCTTCACTCAGACCCTCACAGGGCCCCCAGTAGCACCTCATCCTGCCCCAGCTCCAGCCAATGCAGGAGCAATGTCCACTTCTCCTTACAGTCTGCGCTCCTCTCCCCAGGCTTCCCAGCTTCATATGCTCCCACCTTTATTATCTGAAGCCAGAGTCGGTTCAAGGAAAAAAAAAATGTAATATATATATTATATTACTCTTTTTGAGACTGAGTCTCACTATGCAGTTCACTTTGGCCTTGAGCTCACTTGTAGCCCAGGCTGGTCTCAAAATTGCAATGATCCTCCTGCCTCGGCCTCCCGAGAAAGGCGTGTGCCACCACACCTGAGGAAATAAAAATTCTTATGATTTCCTTCCCCAGATTTTCATTATAAAAATGTCCTTAGCTCTAGGTCCAGTGAACATTGCCCATCTGCTCCCCAGAGCTGGTTGTTTTCTGGCTAGCATCTGTACCTCGGTAAACTCTGTGTTTCCAAGATCCCTGGTCTAGAGCCAGGTGTGTTAAGGCACACCTGTAAGCCCAACACTCAGGAAGCTGAAGCAGGATGATCACCACGAGTTCAGAAACACATAGCAAGACTTTGTCTTGAAAAGACAGAGAGAGAGAAGGAGAGACGAAGGGAGGGAGGACTCCAGCCTCTAGAGGGATCCACTAAGCGGGGGCAATCAGGACTAGCTTGCTCCCTGCACTGCAGAAGGGTGACCCAAGTAACCCCCATGCTAAAGTGTGAAGCATGATGGGTCAAGTGGGTGCATTTCCTGTCTCATCCCCTCGGTTCTGCTTTCTAAAGAATTGAAAACCTGTCTCTGGTCGGGGTCTTACTTGGTTGTGGGGATGTGCTAAAAGTTGTCAGACCTTTCAAGCTCAAGACAAATGTACTTGCCACTCTGCCTCTCCCCACTACTTCCTTCCTGGGTTGTTTGTTTGGAAAACACTCACTTGTAGCTTCACTAAGAGTTTACACTGGGCACGTCTCGTCTACCCTCTATTAGACACCGTGAGCAATCTGTAGAGGGCCTGGCGTGCCCGGGAGAGTCATATTGGTGACACAGCTGCAGGGAAGCTGGGTCCAGTGGCAGCCAGGAGCCAGCCACTCGCTGCTCTTTGATTCTTTGTGGCCATGGGGAAGTCTGGGAATTTGCTGCAAAGCAGATAAAGTGTTACAGTCAAGCCAGAAGGTAGCGGGAGTAAGGATGCCTTTTTATTTGCACAAACATCACTCCTGGGGCCGAGGAAACCAGGGAAATCATGGCACTTGACATTTTTACTCAGAAGTTACTTTGGAGTTGCCAAATGTCTTCTTCTTGTCCTTTGTAGAAAGTTGATATTTTCTTGGGAACTTTAATTACAAAGGGAACTTAGGAAAGAATTTTCTTCCTCTGAGACAGGGTCTCACTATGTATTTCAGGCTGGCCTAGAACTCACAGTGATCTTCCTGCCTCAGCCTCCCGAACGATGGGATTACAAATGTGTGCCACCACACCCAGCCACGGGAAGGAAATTTAAGTAAATTCTTAACTGGAACCAGGTCCCACCCAGAGCAGGAGGCTCTTTACTAGAGTGTCTCCTTTCCTGATGTCACTGGCTGTGGCTGTGCCAGTCAGGAATGCTTGTGTCTTGTTCTGCAGCTAGACAACCAGGCGGCCAAGGGTCAGGGCTGTGCATGACTTGTGACCTTCCAATGTCATTGCACTTTGAGGGTTCACTTCAGGACTGAGACCTAACAAACAATGCTGGAGATGTCATGTGCTGAAGCCACTCTTTACTCCACTGGCCACACGTGCTGCTCCTGACCCTGTATGTCCCTCCGGCCTGCTGATGTCCCATACTTGATTAATGACACTGTTTTATCCGAGGATCTCGAGCCTCCTTTGAAATCCTGGTGTCTGAGACGGGTCCTGGTCAACTCCCCTGAGAGCAGAGAGAGCTGACTGTTTTTTTCCCATTCAGCGATGGCCCTTTCCACCACGGACTCAGGACACCAGGACAGCAGGCAGCATCAGAACCAGGCAGTGCAGTGACCATATCCAACCCCCAAGTGTCTCCTGGGAGCCTCTGAGGGAGGTCCAGGTGCTCTCGGCAGAGGAGCAGGGCTCCAGGGAACCGAAAGTGATGTTCAGGAGTTAACCGGTTGGTGTCGCCTTGGAGCCACCTTAGTAATGCTCTGCGGGGCAGCATCTACCCATGAGCTTTTTCTGTGCCCCACTGTGTCCTGAGTTTGTAGAACAAATGAATGGGTGATGAAATTGATCTCAATGGCACAGAACGCTCCAGGTCGAGTTGCACAGAGTGGATAGGTTGCTCTAAAGAATTGGCCTCTTCCGTCTCCTTTCGTTGTGTCCAGAGCAACATTTTCTTGATTTAGTCACAGTGACGCTGAGGGGGACAGGTCCAAACTGATGATGGAAACAGGAATCTGCACCCTGAGAGCCTGTGACCCCCACCTCATGAAACCCCACAGTGCTGTTTTACAGACATCCCTGGGAGGAGCTAGAGATCTTGGTCAGTGCCTTTGGAGGGCCTGAATGACAAACGCAGACCCCCACGCTTGCTAGACAGAGACAGATGTGGTCATGGCCCTGAGTGTGTCCAGCAGGATGTTCCCTAAGGAGGCAGGATCCCCTCCCGAGGTATCCAGAGAGCTCTCCTCAGGTAACAAAAGGGAGAATGTGTCTTGGTTACTTTTCTCGTAGCTGTAACAAAATACCCAACACCTGGGAGTTAAGGGAGGAAAGGTTTATTTAGCTCATGGTTTGTAGAGTTTTCAGTTCATAGTCTACTGGCTCTAATCAGGGCAGCACATGGCAGAGGACGCACAATTCGTGGTTGTGGAAGACGGAAAAAGCAAGCAAAAGAGCAAAGGGACGAGCCTCTTTCTGTCCTTTATATTATACACAGGCTACCTGACCAAGGGCAGTGTAGCTCTCTCACACTGACCTCTAACCAGAACTCTGCCAAACCAATCAGTGGACTGATTCACTAATCACACACCCTTCATCCCAGCATCACACACTCTCGGTCCAGCCACCTCTGAAAAGCCTGCTCCTGTGGCTACAGACACTTTAGGGGGACATCCAGACACTGGCCATAGCAGAAGCACATTCTCGGCCCCCACTGGTTGAGTGAGGAGATGAGGCGTCACAACCAGTGCCCCCAGATGGGCGCACTGCAGGCACTGAATGCAGCATCGGAGTCCTCAGTCCTGGAAGGATTTCACTCTGTCTTTAAGGCTCTGGTAGGGGAGCCAAGTCTGGTGGGGCACACTTGTAATCCCAGCATTCGGGCAGGAGGATCACACGTTCGAGCCCAGCCTGGACAATTTAGAGAGCTCCTGTCCCAAAATTTAAAAAGTAGGGGCTGGGGATTTAGCTCAGCGGCATAAGCACCTGCCTTGCAAGTAGGCAGTTGTGAGTTCGATCCCCCGTACTGATAAAAACAAAACAAAAACAAAATTTAAAAAGTAAAAATAAAAAGGGCTGGGGCATTGCTCAGTAAAAAAGCCCAGTTTTCAATCCTTTGCACCGCAATCAATCAGTCTATGAGGCTGGCAGGTAGATCCATTTGTCACTTTCCAACCCAGTCCATAAATGAGAAAAGTCCATAAATGAGAAAAGTGCCTGGAAATAACACCACCTTCCTCACAGGAGAAAGCAAAACACCGCCAACATTAGGATGTGCAGTGCACATTTTCCCCAAGGTTTGGATTAAATCTGACGCCTACTGAAGGTCCCCAACAGCCCCCAGTCCCTCTCTGTTTTCCCCACTTGAGTCTCCCAGAAGAGAGGTTCTCGTCCATCACTTGAGCCTGGTGCCATTCACTTACCCTGTCTCCCAGTGTGTGGCAGATCTGAGCTCTCAGACATACACAAAAATTGTCATGGGGCTCAGTGGGAATGGTTTGCTAAAAAGGAGCAGCTTGACAGCCATTAGCTCTGCTAAAGACACGGGTTAAAGTGGGAGCCAAGACTGAGCTGCGCTCTCACACAGGAGCCTACGTCAATCTCCGTGTCAACCTGTGTGGTAAACTCTATGATTATCCTCCTTCTCCAGTGAGGCAGTAAAGTTAAATTTAGGAAACATTTACAAAGATTTATGATAACGTTTGTGTGGGAGGGAATAAAGAGGGGTTTTGTTGTTGTTGCTGTTTTGTTTCCGGTACCGAAGATCAAATTCACCACCTTGCAGTTACCAGGCAGGCCCTTGAGCCGCTGAGCTAAATCCCCAGCCCAAAAGAGACATTTTTATATTAGCATTAAAAACTACTTAGTGACATTTATTCTCCCAAATAAGAGATTTACCAGTCTTTTTATAACATTGATTATTCAGCAACCTTGGATTTTTTTGATGGTGTAGAGGCACCTTCAATGTGCCTTGGCCTGCAAACCAAATCGAGCCCTCGGTATATTTTTAAATGATTAAAAGAAAGAATATTTCTACATGGCAAATAAAATACATTCAAATTTTAGGGTCCAGAAATGAAACTTTCTGGAAATAGCCACGCTTATTTACTGATGTGCCGTGGGGGCTGGATTTGCCTTATAGTGAAAACGGTGAGCACTCATGGCAAGGAGACACAAAGCCTAAAGTCTTTACCCTCTAGGTTTTTAGAGGAAGCCAGTGCTCCTGCAGAATAAACCACAGAGGTCAAGCTTGGAGGCTCAGGCCTGTAATCCCAGTACTCTCGGAGGCCGAGACAGGAGAAGCACGTTCAAGCCTAACCTGGGCAATTTAGCAACTTAGTGAGATCTTGTCTCACAAGTAAAGTAAAATAAATTTAATTCAAAAGGCCTGGAATGTAGCTCAGTGCCAAGACCCTGGGTTCAATCCCCAATACCAAACAAAACAAAACAAAAGCTTTAGGACTATTCCTATTCAAATTATGCCAGATTTAAATTCCAAGCCTAAACATATGCTTTGCTGCAATTTAGGAAAAAGGTTTTTATCATCTCAGGATCATCGTATGACAAGACAGCTCTGCAGAATCAGATGGGCACAACCGTCTAAATAAGAGTCATTTGATATCAGCAGGATCAACTACACACCCCTTGGGATCCTAAGAAAACCAAATATCCCCTTGTTTATGAGAATTCGCTCTGCAAATTATTCTCCTTTATTCATGAAGACAGCCCTGGGGGAACAGGAGCCATCTGTCCCCTGCTGCTGGCACACCTGTTGTCTTGAGTTAGCCTTGAACATCACCATTCTCAGGGAACAAGCCCGTCCTTTCACCGGAGTGGGGTAGGTGAATCGATGAACTGTAGGATTTAGGACTCAGTGTCTTGGGAGTGTGACCTTACTGAAACAGGTTGTATAGCAAACTGTTTCCAAGTCGCAGACTAACAAACTGTAAAGTGGTCAAGATTATCGTTGAATTTCTTTGCTGACTCAGTTTGAAATTTCTAAAAGTAATTTGATTTCAGATTCTGATTTTTTATTACTCTGCTATTTTTTGTACCTCTTCCTTGGGAGAGCCCTGTAAATCATTAAATTTAAAAGACAGAGATAGTGCATGCCTGTAATCCCAACACTCAGGAAGCTGAGGCAGGAGGATCACTGTGAGTTCAATGCGCCATTCTCCCAGGAAACATACAGAGAGTTTGCATACATTTTTGCCCAGAAGGTCTGTGAACTCCATGGAATCTACTCAGCACATCTGTGAGGACCAGTGGTCTTGGGTAGCAAGCCCAGCGCTTAGATGTCAATTACTAGGACAAGCTGGGTGTGTCCCTCCAGCCCTACCCCTCCCAGCTCTATGCGCATTTGAACAGGAGACTGAAAGGACCCAGTTGTAGTGGTGGAATCTGAGTCTCAGACTCCAGCAACAAGTAAGCAATAAAGAAATTTGGGGCCAGGGATAAGTTATTCTTTATTTTTTGTTATGGAATATGCTCATTTCTTTCAGAGTTTTGAAACACAGTCATGGCCCAGAATCCATAATCCCTCCAAGCTTTCATGCTGAGGATTTAATGGTTGGAATCCTGTGATAGGTGTTATATAAAACATCCCCTCAAAGCCTTCCTGAGTTGAAGAGCTGATGGGTTTTTGGAAAATGACTGGATCCTGAGGACTCTGATTTTATCATGGGTTCATGTAAAATATGAGGTCCCATTTGATAGTTTTATCCAGGTGACAGACACAGAGAGTACGGCCTAACTGAAAGGATGGGTCATGGGAGCAGGACCCTGGGACTGTCTGGTCCCCAGCCCTTCCTGTCTGGATCGCTCTCTCTCCTCTCCCTGGCTGCCATGAGGTGAGCAGCTTTCTCTACCTCACACTTCCACCATGAAGTTTCTGCCTCACTACAGACCCAAAAACGAGGGACCAGCCCACCATGGATGGGAACCTCTGTAACCCTGAGCGGAAGTAACCCTTCCCTGCTCTCCATTGATTTCATCAGGTATCACCTTGCAGCAACAACAAGCTGACTGATGCAAAACCCGACTGAACAAATCTGTAAGCCCGGATCAAAAACATAAAAATGGTTAACCAACTGCTCTTTTGCAGGAAGAGAATTCATATTACATCAGTGAAATAGGAGCCAATCTGACTGTCTCGAATCCAGGTTAGTACTGTGAGGATGGCCTATGGATGGATGATGACACTGTCTTTCCCGTTGGCTTATTTGGGCACCACTGAGTCTGCCACTTTTGATGTTGCTTTTAAGAGACAAAAGGAAAAAGATGCCCACAATAAAACTTGGAGGAGTTACTCCTGGGCGCTTCGGGTGACCTGTCTGCTGGAGAACATTATCAACAACACTAGGTGTTAAGACTTTTTAACAGATTTGCTGTGGACAGTGCAGTTTATCCCGTGCTTGAAGCCACGCATTCCTTCTCCAGAAGCAAAATTAGATGGCACTGGGGTCCATCAGCGAGTCCCTGGCCTGGTGGAGCCTCTATTCTAGAAGAGTACTGGCTCATGTTGCCCTGTTCGGTGGTGGGGCACATGGGGAGCAAACTGAGCAGGGTGGAGGGGAGCACAGAGCCAGACCTCTGAGGACTTCGGGTTAACCTAAAGTGTGAACGGCTGCCGCAGGAAGGTTCAGTGTAGGGAGCGGGGGATGAGATTTACCTTTGCCCAGGTTCACTTCCGGTGCTGTATGGGAGATAGCCACACTGAGACGAGATGGAAGAAATCCTACCATGTGCATTTCAGGAGAGATGGTGCAAGTCCATCTCCCCATCTGGGGGGCCTCGATGTTCCCCCCAAAATTGAGTCTTAGATAACAGAGCTTTATGAACCTTCCCATGGCTGCTGGCCTAGAGGTTGTCATGTTTGTTCTCTCCTTTGCAAAGTGCTACCTTTTGAGTGGCTTAAACATTGGTTTATTAATTAAGTATCTTGCCAGGCATGGTGGCAAACACCTGTAACCTCATCACTCAGGAGGCTGAAGCAGGAAGATCACCCCAAGTTCAAGGCCATCCTGGGCTACATCATGAGATCAAGGCCAACCTAAATTACATAGTGAGACTCTGTTTAAAAGAAAAAAGAAAAAAATTAAGTATCATACACTAAAGAAATTTGCCAAGAAATGAAAAAAAACATGGAGTAACATCTACTTAAATATCTAATTAACATATTCACTGTATTATATTGATATTGTTCAAAGGAATTTTGTCTACATTTTTTCCTTTTTTTTTTTTTTGGTCTTTTTGAGACAGGGTCTGACTCAGTTCAGGCTGGCCTTGAGCTCCCTTTGTAGCTGGTCTCAAACTGGGCTCAAACTCGATCCTCCTGCTTCAGCCTCCGGAATGCTGGCATTACAGGCATGCACCACCACGCATGGCTTATCTATGATTTATTGACGGCTCATTTTTGTGTATATTAACTTACAGAGTAATCCATATGGTCAGGATATAAATACTGTGAGAGCCAACACGCTTAGCAAATGTTATCTCTAGGCACAGAGCAGGTTTTAACAGAGCAGTGATCTCCCAAAAGCCAAGTGAAGGGAAAGGAAAATCAGACCAGAAATGAAAGACCCGGGGAGGAAGAAAAACAACTCCAGATTTCAGTGACTAAAGTGTAGCAGGCACGGTAATGTTTGTGATGACGGTGGTGGGATCAGCAGCCACCAACAGTTGTAACTACAATAGTGACAGTTGTAACACTCGGAGGGATCATGGTGGGGACACAGCAGTACACACAGAGAATTCAGCACATTACCCACTCATTAATTTATGCTGTGACTATTTCTCTGAGTAGGCACCAAGGGGATAAGGCAAGGGGTTTTCTTCTCATTCAAGAAGCCAAATTAAACTAGGCATGGTGGCGCACACCTGTAATCCCAGCCTTTGGGAGGCTGAGAGTGATCCTGAGGAGGATCGCAGTGAGTTCAAGACCAGCCTGGGCTACAAAGAGAGCTCAAGGCCAGCCTGAACTGCATAGTGAAACACTGTCTCAAAAAGACAAAAAGAAGAAGCCAAATTATAGTCAGAAGAGTGCTTGGCAAGTGTGAAATCAGAGAAAAGTTCACTCCGTGATTAAAATACTGAACCCCATCTGCTTCAAAGTATCTCCTCCTCTAAAGGGGGCACATGTCACGGGATAGGATTGTCCTTGAGCCCCAGAAAAAGTCTTCACGCTCGGGGTGTTTTTGCCCTGAGGAGGAGGTAACAGGGCCCCTGGAAGGCCACACACGCAGGAAAAGCATTAGCGGCCCGTGGACAGCCTGGCCACCACCGGGACTCAGCAGATTCTCAGTGTGCGTCACTTTCTCTCTGCAGAGAGAGATTTCCAAGGGTTGAAAAGCGCCATGGTGATGTTTGAGACGCTGGCTGGGCACTCCTTCAAGTGTGTGAGCGAGCAGAGCATCCTGCTGTCCGCCCAGCTGCAGCTGAAGACCATGAACGTCCAGCTCCAAGCCTTCGACTGGGAAGGAGACCACTTCGGAAACGGTGAGTTCTACATTGTGTTCAGTTCAAGCCCTCCAGGACCAGGAATCCCAGGAGCTTCCTGGGTCGATATTTTCACCCAACCCTTAGGGCCAAGCTCCCCTGGGGCATTTCCTGCCACCTCAAAACCTGGCATAGACCAGGCATGGTGGCACATGCCAGTAATCCCAGCACTTAGGAGGCTGAGGCAGGAGCCTTGGCCATGAGTTCAAGACCAGCCTGGGTTACATTAGTGAGATCCTGTCTCAAGAAACCAAAAACAAGGGGCTGGGGATTTAGCTTAGCGGTGTAAGTGCCTGCCTTGCGAGCAGGCAGTCATGAGTTTGATCCCCAGTACCCATAAAAAAAAAAAAAAAATAGGCAAGAAACCAAACACAAACAAACAAACAAAAACAGGCAATTCAAGATTTCAAAATAGCTTTTTCCCCCAAAACCAACTCTGTTGGAACCCCTCTTCCCAATGATAGCCGCTCCCGCCCCCCCCGCCCCCCCAGAGTGAGTCCTCAGAGTGAGTTTTCTTTTTTTCTTTTTTTTTTTTTCTTTTTTTTTTTTATTTAAAGAAAAGGAAACGAAAAAAAAAATATAAAAAAAATACATGGAGATTAAAGAATAAAAGGGTAGAAAAATAATACTAAATTACAGACAAACAAAAGGTAATAAATTGCCAGTTGATAAGTTACAAATTGTCTTCTTCGAAATGGCTGTTTAGGTTATAGAATTAAAGTATTTAGAATGACATTCAAAAAAGTGACCCTACAAACCATTCTGCTCTATGGCCGAACAAAAGCTCCGTAATATGATTATCAGTCCCACCTATTTGTTTTACATCTCTAAGAGGATAAGGTTAACCATATCAAAACAGAACAGAACATAAAAAAAAAAAAATAAAAAACTATTTAAAGAAATACAGATTTCAAAGCAAGTCCACTGGAGATCTACCTTATCTAACTGTCTCTAGCTTCTTACAGATAGTTGTCCCTAACTTCACCCACTTTCTATACTTATTGCATATTATAGAACTAATCAAATCATTACAGGATGATGGAGTCTTTTTAGGTCCTCAAGTTCCAAATTAGGGAAGACATTTCCAACTACCATCGCATCTCTCATTCTCTTTGTGATAGCCGTCCCCATCTCTGCATATGCTGAAGTTGAGCTGAAGAAACCAGTCCAGAGTCATTTTAATCAGCAAGCAATAGGTTGCTAGAATTTATATTATAATGCTACAAAATAAGCCTCGGGTTTTTCAGGTCTCTTCCTCAGAGTATTTGTTCCTATCCTCTCTGTATTATAGGGAAAACCAATTCATAACAAGACAGCGAAACAATTTCCTAGATAAACATGCAATGGATAAGACTTACAAAACTATAATATAAATGATCTTCCGTAGCTACTATGTTTTCTCTTGTTATTTTCAATAGATTTGTCGACAACACTGGCGTATTATAGTTAAATATACTATCACCTATTTTTATAAAAACTTATCTTTGACTGCATTGTAGTATTTGAGAACTGTTACTGATTCATACCAGTATGGATATCCTTTACATCCTGTCATGCTCAGAGTAGTTTCCTCTACTTTTAGGGTTGATTCTAACACGCATACGGATTTCAAATAGGATCAGTCAAGGCCAACCAATAGTCTTATGATTCAGATACAATTAAGATCAGTCATAGTAAGACAATGTAAGTAATACAGGGTTTCAGCTTAAGTCAATAGGAAAGTAAGGATGGTTACCATGGTATAACCTGCTATTTTTGGTTCTAGAGGTCTGTGTCTTCAAATCTGATATGAGTAGACAGACCAGAACAAATTTAATTCAATCTAAATATGGCACTAGGACTACTGTGTCTTTTAAATCGTTATACACCATTAGCAATGACCTCTGCTTTTTTTTTTTTTTTTAAATATAGTTTCAGAGCTGTCTCTACCAAAGACTAGCTTACCGTCTCTGCCTCATGTCTGCTACTCCACTTTTCTGCTATAATTTGTCCACCTTATTCCCTCATTCCATGGTCTGCCCCGTACACTGAGGCCTCTCTGCCACTGTAGCTGTAATCCTGATATTTCTTCCTCTCTTTCTCTGTAATGTCCTTCAGCGCTCTCTGTAGGGTTGGATTGGTGGCCACGAACTCCCACAGTTCCTCCTTGTCTTGAAAGTATCTTATTTCTTCATTAATTTTTAGAGAGAGTTTTGATGGATATATGAGCTTAGGTTGCATATTTTTTTCCTTCAGGACTTGGAATATTTCTCCCCACTCCCTTCTTGACTTAAGAGTTTGTGTTGATAAGTCTGCCGTTATTTTGATAGATTTCCTGTTATAGGTAACCTGCATCTTTTCTCTGGCTACTTTTAATATTCTGTTTTTTTGGTGGATTTCTGGGATCTCGATTATTATATGCCTAGGCGTAGATCTGTTTTGGTTGTAGGTAGCTGGCGTTCTGTATGCTTCTTTTATCTGGATATCATTTCTTTTTGCTATACATGGGAAATTTTGCTTTAATATCTCTGTGAATATTTTTTGTATTTCATTTTTGGATGTTCCTGCTTCCTCACTCACATTCTTTATTCTTAGGTTATGCATCTTTTTATCATCTTCCAGTTTTAGAATTGCTTCTTTCTGGTTCCTTGTTATTTTTAAGAGGCTTTTTCTTTCACGTTCATAAGCCCTAAATCTCTCTTCAAGTTTCAGAAGGTTGTCTTTAGTTTCTGTCAAGGCATTTTGCCAATATTCAATGGAGTTTTTAATTTCCTGATTTTCTCTTTGGATCTGTTTCATGTATTCTAAGTTATGCTTAAATTCTTCAGATGCTTCTCTTTCTTTTCTGATTTCCTCAGTTCTTCCATCTGTGTTCTCTTGGGCAGGGCTTGTCATTTCTTTAATTAATCTCTTTATATCTTGCCTCACTTGGATCAGGAGTACATCTTTAAATTCCTCTATGAGATCATGTAAATACTTTTTAATTTCGGCTGATGCTGAGTCGAGCAATGGATGGTTACTGTGCTTGTTCTCTTCAGTGTTTAGTTCTCTTGGGTTTAATTTCTCCTGTTGAACAGCTGGAGATTTTTTTTTATTTTTATCTCTTGTCATGTTTCTGGTTTCTTTCAGACTGTCCTGGAGTTCTCTGGCCCTCTCCGAATTGCTTAGGGCCTTTCAGAAGCGTGCCGGCTTGAGTTTTTGCTGTCCTCCCCAATTTGCTGTTATCTGGGGTAGGCTGGGATGCAGGGGCGGTACAGTCTAGTCTCTAGCCTCTGTGTCAGTTAGTTCATAAATTAGGCTGTACTTTCTGGTTGTCACTGAGTTGTGACCATTCTGCATCCGCCCATTGGGCCCCAAGCAGAGGCCTGATCTAGCCCCAACAGCTCCTGCCAGTTCTCCCTGAATCAGAAGCAGCTGGGTAATGGCACAGGATTCTGCCCAGGTCCCAGCCGTTCTCTTCCAAACCTCTCTGTGATAGGAGCTCTAGAAAAGCAGATCTGCCCAAAACCAAGATGGCTCCCACTAAGTTCTCCGTGTGGAGCTGAAGCCAGCAAGCAATCAGACTCTGCCAGGACTCAAGATGTCTCCCACCAGCCCTCCCTACAGGGGGTCCTGGTGATGTCACCAAGCTGCGATTTCTGCCGCCAGGCTAATATGTCTGCACCAGATTCTGTGTTATTGATTTCCCCGTGGTGGCGGGCCAGCTGTTCTCTGGCCAAACCCAGCCGCCGCGGGGTTTTCTATACTCACCAGAGTCCGGTGCAAGTCCCCGCTCCGGGACCGCCACACACCAAGCCGTCCACTTTTCCCCACCTCGCGGCTCAGCGCTGACTGGTCAGATTTCTGTGCACCGTTTAGATTCGAAACGCCAGAGCTCTGTACATCTGCTCTGGTGCAGCGGTGCAGAACTGGCTGCTGCCTGGAGTCTCGATCTGGGTCTCAGTTTCCGCAGTCCCCAAAAGCAACTCAGCTTTTCGTGTTGGGTCCAGGAGTCTGTTCGTTGATTTAAGGGCGCGGGATTTGCAGCCTCCGGTCTCAGCACGACTTTAAATCCTCCAGCTGTACTGTCTTGGTTGATAAGAATCGCTATGGATTTGTCTGGTCCTCTCCATGCTGTCTTTTTTTTTTAGCTTTGAGTTTGAATTCTCTGGAGAGATTCTTCGCTCGATCCCCTAGCACGCCGCCATTTTCTCTCTCCTCAGAGTGAGTTTTCATTCCAACCTAACTCTTTCGGCTCTGGGTTCGGACCAATGCTGCTGGGGAGTCCTGTGGCGCAGGCCAGGGCAGGCCCAGCGCATGTTCCAAAAACCCCTTCTCTCCTGCCCAAAAGCCAGTGTTACAAAGACTTCTGCGAATCAGGAGGCTCATGAACTTCAGTTCTCAAAACAGCCCCCCTGAAAGAACTCAAACCTGTTGTAAGTGCATCTCCATCATCCAATAGGTTTAGTGGTTGAGCTCTATGTCGAATTTGGGTTCCACTACAAAATTAAAGATAGGTCTGGTGGGAAGCTGCACTGGACACAGTGGAAACCTCTCAGCAAACGAAGGGATCAGTGTTGCTTGCCATGGAGCCCTGGTTTGTAGAGGGTTTATCTGTGTCTTACAGCTTTTGAGGCACAATTTCACTAAGCCCTTGAATTGTCCAGGCTGGGCTCAAACTCGTGATCCTCCTGCCTCAGCCTCCCACAGGGTTGGGTTGTAGGCCCACATCACCCCGCCCAGTGATGAAATAAGACACACACTTGCCCACCTATCCCGTTAAGAGCTCTGTGAAGTAGAAACTGAGCAGGGTTTGGGAACAAAACCATTTAGCAGCTTCCTGGCTCCTACTAGCATTGTTCACAGACAGACATGGAAAAGGTTTATTTGTTTTTGTTTTGTGAACCCGGGGATTGAGCTCAAGGCCTTCACACTGAACTATACTCCCATGATAGATGACATTTAAATGGGCTGGAAGAACGCAAAGAATCCAGCAAGAACAAAAGCTCAACCTTGGCAGAGAGAATACCCAGCCAAACCCT